AAATTCATTAATTCAAACTTATCTTTAACTTATTTAATGGATAACTTAACTTAGTTATTTATTTATATTTTGACCCTTAAACTCTTAATAATTATATTATTTTACAAAATTACACAAAATAATATATAATAAATTATATATTTTCCCTAACTGTGATTAAATAATATTAGTATAAATTCTACAGAATAATTAAAAATCTGGGTTGTTACAAAGGATGTGGTTTTTAATTAAATGAAGAGAATGAATTTTTAAAAAATGATTAGAGTAGTGTGGATTGGAAAATAAGGAAAATTGGTTTTTGGAAAGAAAATGAAATCATAACCCTTGGAAAATTAATAATGAACTTGAGATCGGATTTTGAAACATTTACATATTATTATTTTTATTGGATTTAAGGTCTCGTGAGAATTGGATTGTTGCCTTACATGTATTTAATATATATGCTTAGAGGCTTTATTCTTGGTCATCGATGGAGTTGGCATTGTTGTGTTGAATGATATCATGTATGTAGTACACTTATGTTATTATGCATTCTAGTATGTTGAGATGGTTGGAAATGTTCACGTGTAGAGAATAAGAGGTATCATTACCTTCCAGCTAGAGCTTGCAAAATTGATCGTGCTTAGAATGAGAGGTACTAGTACCTTCCAGCTAACGCCTGGAGAACTTGACAGAGGTACCATTACCTTCCAGCTGGTGTCTTGTAAATTAGCAGTTGTGTCTGGTAAATTGGCACTTTGTTATGAAAAGATGTATCATTGGCTTACCGTGCTTAAGGTAGGTAGAGCATTGTTTCATTTATTATTTTGTCTCGGTGTATCCTTGTATATAATGAGTAGGTGATGGTTATGGTTGGGTGAGGCCGGGTTATTTTATGTGATAGTGTAGTAATCTTTATACGTGTATTGATTTCGTATTCGTGTTAGAACATATATGTATGTACAGAGGCGTATTGAACGAGTTGTTGAAAGTGTTTCTTGACCATGGACTTAGGGCCAATGGAATGTGATGAATGCATAAGAAGTGAAAATATGTTTGTACTGGGCGTAAATAGTGAGAAATAATCGGGTTTTGTGATTTTTTTTTTAAAACAACCAGTTGTGATGCGTTATTTATAAATGAGAAATGAGAAAAAAAAAAGTGAATTATTTGTATTGTTGGGTAAATTGAATGATTTTAAGAAAAGTACCTGTATAAGTATATTTTCAGTATAAACCATCACATTATATATATGATATGATATAAAGTATTCATGATCATAGCTATCCGTATGTTGTTACTGTTTAGGATCATGTTGGGATTCCTACTGGATTTTATGTTCATCCCATATTGCTAATCCTTTTTTAGGTGAACGTTGAGAAGTATTTCAAGATCAAGGATCATCCTTAGTTGTTGGCCACGGGCCTTTTATTTGTGGGCAGAATGCCATTGATGTAAAAGGGTTAAACTCTTTCTTTTAATTTAAAAGATATAAGCCTATGGGCTATTAATTTATTTATAACTCCTATTGCATTCATATTGTATTCCGATAAGAGAATCTATATTCATATGTTTTTGTTAATGTAAAGAGTTTCCACATGTTATCTCTGGAACTGAATCTATAATAATGGTTTGGTAATAGAATTCAAGTAACAAAAAGCAGGGCATTATAACGACGCTCACTGTCGACGCCCACCGCCACGTCGCCAATGCTGCTGAGCTTTTCTTTCTCTTCTCTATCTCTTCATTTCTATCTCTTTATGTGTTAAATCTATTTTTTTTTCTTTTTTTGAATTTGAGCTCAGATCGTCTCCTCTCTTTAGCTGCCGAGAAAAATGGAGGAAAGGAAAATAATTTTTTTTTACCCATATCTCTCTCTCTCTCTCTCATCTGTTTTTATTTATTTTTAATGTAAGTTTGGATTTGATGTTGTTATTGTTATTGTTGGGGTTGATGATTATAGCGATTTCGGTTTTGACCCGACCCATTTGATTTTCTAGACTTGGGTTTTGTGGTTTCTAAATGTTGTTCATGTCTTTCTCTCCTTATTCTTACTTGAGTTTGGCTATTGGGTTGTATTGAACATGTTTGGAACAGGTTGGTTGCTTGGTTTTCAAACCTTTTGTTGCCCAGGATTTTGCACTTTCGCTCAAACGACACTTCTTGTTTTCGAGCAGACTATGCGTATATCAATTCGTAGCAGCTCTTTTTTACATCACTTTTTCACATCTTTTTCAATCTAAACCCTAAATCGGGACCCTCTCTCTCTATAACCCACTCTCTCTGCATTTTTATCTAGATCCATTGGTTTCTCTACCCTAGTGGCTTGGGGAAAGAGATAGAGCATCTCAAGAGCTCTACTTTGATCTGAATAAATCTTGATTTCGGCATCTTTGAAGTTCCTCCACTTCTTCCTTGGTCTTTTAAGCTGAGGTAGGGACTTTCTACATTCTCCTATGGTTTTTAACTTAGTTATTTGTTGTTGTGTAAATAATGTTGGGGTTTGGAGGATTTTGGACAAACTTAGGGTTTTGGTTTAAAATAAAAAAAAAGGGTTTTCAAATGAAGGTATTGAAAATGGTTATGGCTATAAATATGAGGATGTATTGTGTTAAATTTGTTGATTTTGACACATAGGTTGGATTTGGGAGAGAATGGAGTTTTGCCCTAAAATGTTTAAAATAATTATTTTGTATAAATAATGAAATTGGTATTGAAAATATGAAATCGGATGAATGTTTATATAAATGATGGAGTTAGTTATGTATTACCTCTCACCTATGGAAGTTTGGATAATTTATCTATCTTGAAGGCTGTATATTTATTTAGAAATATCTGTTTTGGGCTATCGGTGGAAGATAGCTATGATTGTTGTAGAAATTGTATAATGATTAGGTGAATTGAAACTAATCTCTTAACTGTTGTCATTAAATATGACCATGTTTTAATACATTGTATATATATGATATTTGGGAGGAGAAAGGGGATATACTCTATGTTTGGGAGAAGAAAGGGAACGGACTCCATTGAATTAAGTTGGCTTGTGTGTCTAAGGTGAAAGTCTCAAAAATCGTGCATATACATTGGTGCCGATTCCTACGGACAAAATTTCTGTAAAATGGCAAATTGAAGTGTTGTGTAATGGTTGTATTGATTAGATAACCACTGAGTTCTAGCCTCAGTTGGGTTATTTGGATAACAATAGATTTGACTCATGAATTGAGGTGAAATGAATTGTCATGAAATAAATTAATATAAAACAGATTGAAATATAAAGCTTGGCATACTATGATCTTATAAACTATGAATGATTTTATCGCAGGCATTGTATATGCACATTTTACTTATATCTTTGTTAAGATTCATATATTGTGTTAGATTATTTCTACTGGGTTTTGGCTCATCCTATTTGGGAAAAATCATTTTTAGGTGTTGGTGATATACTTCCGCCAAGGATTTAGCTTGGGAGGATTGTGGAGCTGAAGGCTCACTTTTGTTTATGTTGTATTTACCTTTTGTACAAGCCTAGGGCTTTATTTGTACTATGCTTATGACTGATTTTGTTGTAACAAGCATAGCCTTGGAAAGATGTAAGCCATTAGGGTATATGAATATCTGTTAGCTTTCATTATTTATTTATGTTTTGTAACACACGCTGCAGATTCAAAATGAACGATTTATGAATGTACATTGCATGTGTCACATTTTCTATATTAATTCTGATTAATGGAAGCTTCTTATTGTATCTATCTCACTTTGTACTGGTGCATAGAGTTGGTTATTGTAATTATTTTGGGGGCGTTACAACTTGGTATCAGAGCGTACCGGGTTTGAATATGTTGGGTAGTGGGAAGTGGTTAGTACCACAATGGGTTTATTTCATTTGAAAGAGATGTTTATATGTTTGCAATGCTATGTGATAACACGTTTATGTGATTATGTGGGTATAAAATCTAATTTCTAGGATGTTGATCGAGTCTATAGGTTTCTAGGAGTCCTATTAGAAAGGCACTTGATCACTTCTGTTTCTAATTGGAAATCTAGCAACGCCACGAGACGGTCATTATCTGGGAATAAAATTCGTATGTGTTTATGTGACTACATGCTTATACGGAGTAAATTACTATTGTCCACCATATTAAGACGCGAGCGAGTTAGCTTCGACACATTTATAAATTTGCTAATCTCTTTATTACCTTCATTATGATGTCAGGACGTGGATGTGGTGGTGGTAGGCATGGTAGGCCTAGGAGGCATGAGGTGCCTTTATCGGATGAAATTCCGGCACAGGAAGAAGGGGTTGGTCAGGTCAATGTGGCCGAACCAGTTGGTTAACAGGCCATGGGCGCCTTAGCCTGCGAAATAGTCGGAGCGTTGCTATCATAGCCTGAACCCGCCCCTATGGATTAGAGTCATAACTGGCCAGTAATCATGAGATTACTTGCGGCCTCAATTAGAAATCAAATCATATTTAATAATAGGGGGCCAAATTGAAATTTACAAAGATTGTCCAATGAGTTGTGCATACATGTAATGACCCCAAAATGCGTATAAGAAATCATCTTTATTTCCCTATGAAATGATGTGGTTTAATTTAATTATATCTATTAGAATTGAAACATTATCAGTTGAGTTACGGACTTAAAATGGGAATTACCGACCTTTATAGGTTCAAAAATCAAAATTGAGTACTTGGATATGTTAATAGGAATTTTTGGAATTATTTGGGAAAATTAATTTGAAATCTAATTTGTCTGATTCGTTAATGGACGTTTAGGTGATTAACTTTATACTGCAAATTAAAGGCCTTAAAGACTTCAGATACCGGAACAGGAGACATATTTATGATTAGCATAATTTTTAGAGTTATCTGGGAAGTTTAATTGAAATGTGATTTTGTGCGATTCGTAAGGACGTGTTTGGCCCTTCCTATTTGTGGAAAGCTTTTATACATGCATATATGCCTTATGAGTTGTTGAACTCATCTATTTTGAACCAAACAAAAAATAAAAATATCTAGAGAAAGGGGAAGGAGAACTGTGAGAGAGAGAGAGGGAGAGAGAGAAGAGGCAAAGCTTCTCCCTAAGGAATTCAACATCCATGGAAGCTTGAAGATGGTTGAAGAAGATAGAAGAGAGAGGAAAGATCAACCAAAAGCTTGGGAAAAATTGAAGAGACTAAGGGATGAACAAAGGTTTGGGTAAGGTATGTGGCTCCAATTACTAACCTTGTATAGAACCCATCTACTACTTGAAATCATGGATTGATATAGAAGATGTGAGCTTTGAACCCATGAACCTTGATTTTCTAAGAATTCCTTGATTGAAGAAGTAAAATCCTTAAATTTGTTTATTGTGAGATTATGGTGTTTGATGAAGAATAATAATGTGAAATTGGTCATGTATTAAAGGGTTTTGGGCTTTGATTTACATGTAATTAAGGTTTGATTTTTGGAAATGAGAAGTCCCACAATTTCAGCCATTTTCGGACTGCTGCTGTCCAGGGCCGCACGTGCGGAGACAGCTCTGTCCAGCCAACTTTGAATAGGTATATCTTTTGCATCCGGACTCCGTTTTGAGTGATTCTTGAGCCTAAAATCAAGCCCCAGAAGTCTAGTTTCCAATGGCGCTAGTCTCACTCCAAAATTCTAAATACAGAAAAAGTTATACCCAAATTAGTGACGACTATTCACGTTATGTCAATTAGTTATGTACCATTTCTTCACCTAAACCATTTCCTATCGATTTCTCCTGTTTTCTAAGACATGGATTACAACATATTAAAGAATAATCAGCTTGGTACCACCATGACTAATTGATTGAACGATCAAAGAGAATAAGTAAAGGATCGAGTATAACCTCATATTATGTGTTGTGCACTGTGATTGTAGGTCGAGACGAAGACATTGTACCATTACCACCGGGAACCGATCACTGTGAGTAGTAGTACTTTGATGTACCTTTAACCATTTATCGTTATTGATGTTAAATCTTCGTCGTAAGAATTATGTTGACATAAATGTTATGAATGCTATGTGAGAAATACTGTGATATTATGGAAACTTCAAAAGAGTTTATGAAGTTATGTATGTTATGTGAGAAACATTATGGAATTATGAAAACATCAAACGAACTTGTGATTGTGTGAACCCTCAGGCCAAGGGCCGAACTGTGAAATTGTGAAACCAATAAAGTCATCTATAATCTAATGAGAATGTACTTACTTTTCGTTACTAATTATCAGGAATGTCCTGTTAACTTTATGTTAATTATGTCAACTCATGGGAATGATGTAACAGTTACCATTGGGACTATGTTAATTACAAGGCAAGGCAACTATGTTAACATATAAGAATGATTAAACAAAGGTGTATGCTATTGATAAGAGAGCACTTAAAGTAAGTCATTTACCCAAAAGAATTTATGTTCATTCTTGAAGAATGGATTTTGAGTAAATATAAGAGTAGCTACATGTATCCAGATGAATTGAAGTTAATTTGTTATGTTGCTTATGAATTGGAAGTGATCCAGAATCTACGATATAAGTGCAAAGTTTAGCATCATTATGTGACCCTCATGAGAATGTGAATTAGTCTCTCATTGTTAAGCGTACGATAATGACACGATACAACAAGAAATGCTCTAGTTATGATATGTTCCGTTTGAATTAATGAAGGATGTTCAAGTATGTTTCAGGCATGTTTCCAGTATGTTACAAGTTCAAGTATGTTCAGGTATGTTTCAAGTATATGTTACAAGTTTAAGTCTGTCACAAGTTTACGTATGTTACCAGTTTATGTATGTACATGTTCAAGTACGCTACAAGTTCACAATGTTGGGGGATTCCTTATGGAACGAATAAAAAAAAAAAAAAACCTATTATTGATTTGCTAGCACTATTACAGTGCCAAGTATAAGCAAGTATGAATTCTGATTTCTATTTATGATTCAAGCATAATGCATATGTATGAATTTATCTCCGGGGTATGACATTACATGTATGGTTTGGTCTGTAAGACCTAATGATTATTGGTATGGAACAAAGTGCTACTTGGAACTAAGTGTTACATTGTGAGCCACCGCTAGAGTCCATGTGAGACACCTCTTGAGTCCATACATATGTGAAAGTTATGAGGCTTATAGCCATCCGCATAAGTTGTTATGAAATGAAACAAAGTAATACACGGAACTAAGTGCTACATTGTGAGTTACCTCTAGAGTCTGTGTGAGACACCTCTTGGGTTCATATATGCATGCCCAAAAGCTTCATGCCAACTTTTCAAGGGCTTCATGCCAACTTTACAAGGGCTTTATGCCATATGTTTCAAGGGCCTTAGTGCCATATGTTACAAGGGCTTTATGCCATATGTTTCAAGGGCCTTAGTGCCATATGTTACAAGGGCTTTATGCCACATGCTTCAAGGACCTTAGTGCCACAAGTTTCAAGGGCTTATAGCCACCATGTTTCAAGGGCCTCGTGCCACCATGTTTCAAGGGCTTATAGCCACCATGTTTATGTTGCAAGATTGAACTTAAGGTCGTTATGTACGTAGCACAGAATCAGACTAACTATGTGAACTCTACATCTTTATATGCATTACTATGTGTTATGTTTCAATTTAAGCATCGTTTTATTTATGTATTACTATTCACTGAGCTTGGCTCACTCTGTCTAATGTATGTTTTTGTAGGTAACCAACCAAGTGGTCAGTCCTAGTCATGACACCCGTTTTCTTTTGTCAACCTTCGTGGGTTCAGGCACTGCACGAAGCCATTTATTTTTGTAAAGTCTATTGAAATGTTGGCTTAATTTTGATTACCCATTTAAAGTTGAAGAGGTAGAACTTCAATGATTTGTTTTATATAAGCCCAATGATGGGGCTGGGTCTGTACATATGGTTGTTTATCACCGATGCTACAACATATGGTTTGGAGCTTTATCTATTTTCCATGATGAATGTGATGTATAAGAGGTCCTGACATGTAGATGTAGCTCAATGGAATTTATACGTATAGTTATTTTCCTACTTTATGCTTCCGATGAGGCCCCATATGTTATTTACTACAGGTTAAGTGTTCATTTTCAAACGGGTTGTGCCCAAACTTTTAGGGGCGGGTTTGGGGCGTGACAATACATGGCTCAACCAAAACATTCTCATATATGTGATAACTTACACTATACAAACATCCATATTATGTATGTATTACATAAGTCCAGGATCATTCAAAAGTCAGTATTAACAAAACCAAGATTATACACAGATTCGGTCATACGTTGGTCATATGTGACCACAAAAGAACAAAAGGAAAAGAAAAACAAAAGTAAGGCCTCTTGCATGAGGTGACCTTGGTTGACTCCTCAAAACTCGATTTCTCATTGCTCATTGGGGTTGGGGATGGACATTCCGCAGCTCACCTATATACATATAAATGAGGAGTAAGCTAACGCTCAGTGAATAATACCAAAGTAAAGGAGTTCATGAATGGGATTCGTTTAATCATAAGTTATAAACTAAACTTGTTGATCGAAATCAACACAAAACGACCTTAGGTCCAACACATCATATATCATACCTATAATCATATACCAAACGATCTCGGGTCCAATTCGTATTTGCAAAACGACCTTCGGTCCCTTATATGCAGAACGACCTAGGGTCCAATTCATAGGCAAAACGACCTTCAGTCCAATATATGAGAAGCGACCTTGGGTCCATCATATGTAAGACAACCTTGGATCAAATTCATGCACAAAACAACCTTAGGTCCAACCAATCCATATTCACGTTTGTGCACACTCATGATCCATGATCATGTTCACATTCGCCTTTGCATTCAAAACGACCTTAGGTTCAATCATTACTTTATGCAAAACAGCCTTTGGCCCATTTCATAGTTATACAAAACGGCCTTAGGCCCATTTTATATCCTTTTCAAGTAAACCGAACAGCCTTGGGCCCATTTCATAATCATATATCAATACTTCACATATTTCATTGCGAACTAAGCGGATAAAATACTCATTCATAGTATCAAATCAAAAGTTTAGAAACTTACCATACAGGTAACATTTAGAAAATAATATAAATACACAAATTATCTTTACTAAGATATTACTCACAGTGTTCCGGTGCTTGATTCGTTCTTGCACTTGACCCTACATAATTCATAATACATTGGCTCATAATACAATTCAATTCATTCTTTAGTTTGCTTAATGTTCTTAGGCTTCTTTCATGTCCTTTAATTCATATAGGATGCTTAATGTGTGCCTAAGAATACTTAGAAATAGAAGAGAACGGAAATTGGAACATAATACAGCTTTTCAAAATTTCTAAAATAGGGCACCTTGCTTGTCTGTAAAACTCTATAAAGTATTGGCTGCATGAATTTTACGCTTGAGCGAGACTTCTGTCGCTTAAGCAACTAGCTATAAGAACCAGGGTTCGCTCGAGCATAAGGTTTGCTGCTCGAGCTACCATGCAATTCTCTGTAAAACTTCTGGGAGCTTGATTTTTACGCTCGAGCGACGATTTCCTCGCTAGAGCGGACATGCTGAATTTTGAAATTCTTAGAATTGTGTTTGAAGTTCAAACTTGATGTTCATAGGTCCAAAACTCGTGTTTTTTGTACAAAAATATTATACAACATGATAACATAGGTAATTTGAGACCAATTGTCCAAAATCATGATCCAATTCCCAAATCAATTCATATTCTTCTTGATAAATTCAAAACTCATGCAACCAAGCTTCATATCTTCATGGATAATGCATGCATGTGAAATATAGACTCTAATTCCATGTCAAATGGGACAAATGATGTTCAAAATTATTAAGCTTAACAAAATTATGCATGCATGTGTAATTTGGCACCAAATTCTTCATATTGAGTTTGTATTCTACATTAATTTACCAATTCTTCTTGAATACATATATTCATGAACTGAAACTCATGAACTAGAGTTCAAACACTCACTTGGAGCCTTCAATGCTTCTAGTTCTAGCAAATCCTTGAGCCTAGCTTCTCAAATCTTCAATCTTTAAGTCAATTCTCTAAGAATTTGGTCTCTCTCTCTCTCTCTCTCTCTCTCTCTCTCTAACTCAAGTGTTTTCCCTCTCTAAGTGTACAAACTCAGCCATGAGGTGATAAAAATGAGCTCAAAGATGTGAGTTAAGCCCCTAATTAGCGCATATGTAGGCCTCTCTAATCATATTGGCATTAGGCCCAATCAAATGAACATAATTAAATCAAATTAATCTAATTATTTTGATCTGAATCAATTTTTAATTGAATTTCACTCTAGACTCTAAAAATTGTGCTAATCACAATGGGAAAGTCAATAAGGCTTTATGTCGCCTCTACGACCTTCAATTTAAATTTCATAATAGAAAATCAAACAAATTTTCCTACGGTGAACATATCAAAATTCAAAAACACATATAATTGTATAATTAGCATTCAAAATCATATCAAGCATATAATGATAAACATAATTAAGATTCATTAGCATAATACAAAGTAGGGTTATCACAGTTGCGAGAGTCTATGGACATTCTCAAAGCTGAGAATCAAGTCTAGGCCCAAGTAGCTGAGACAAGGCTATCTTTCTTGAAGTGGGAGTTTTTCTGGTGTAATTCGGATGAGTTTTTGGGTGATCCAAGGAGCCACTGAAGGCAAACGAGTGGTTGAAGCAGATCGTGAAAACGTTTGAGATATTTGGCATCGAGTACAATTAGTTGTGAGTGACGTTGGCATCCTGTAACAGCGCCCGCGTGGGGCCTCGTGCTACAGTTCGGACTCGATTTGTGTCACGGTTCTTAATCTTGAACCAAAGAGTCCAAATCTGGCAAATCGTTTTGAGAAACAGATTTTTGAAAAAGTAGTGCCAAACATGGACTGCTTTGCCAGATACAGAGTAATGGGGTGTCTACACATCCTTCCAATTAAAGGGAGATGCGGGTCAGTGGTGGAAGTATGTGCGTGGGCACATTGGGGTGACTTGGGAGGCTTTTGTCAACGCCTTCCGGGACAAGTTCTACCTCTCATAGTTAGAGAGAAGTTGAGAGACCAGTCCCCAAGCTGGTGCAGTTAACATTCCAGTGGTCAAGTTTGAGGCCACATTTACTGGCCTCTCTAGGTTTGCACCAGAGTTAGTGGCGATAGAGAAACGCCGTTGTTTGGAGTTTGAGAAGAGGTTGAGGACTGGGCTCATGTTCAAGGTGGCCGAGTCGATGATTAGAGATTATAGAAACCTTGTGGAGGCGGCGACTTACCTTGAGATCATGATGCAGATGGAGAAGGAGAGGATGAGGGGCTCCAAGAGGAGTTAGGATATTCAGGGGGATAGTAAGAGATAGAGGGGTCCTACCCCACAGCAATCCTAGGGAACACAGTTGAGGTCTACCTTTCCAGTGTCTAGTTCAGGTTCTGGAAGGGGTGGTCAGAGAGATTTTACTTGTTGCAAGTGTCGCTAGTTGGGCCACAAGTCTCCACATTGGTCGTAGAGAAGAGGAGGGTAGCGGTCTATATCGTCTTCGGCTCGTTCTCAGAGCTAGAGTCAAGAGAGAGGCTAGCCACTCACTTGTTATTAGTGTGGGCAGGCGGGGCACATGAAGAGGTTTTGCCCTCAGTTGGGGGGCACATCTTGTGCGTCTGGTTCGAGACAGACACAAAGCCACTAGCTGGCACAATCAACATATGCCTCGAGGGCCAATCAGGGAGGCTCTTTGGTTCAGTCAGTACATCAGGCTTATGCTCCGAGGGGTAAGCAAGTTGAGCAGAGACCTTCGGGATGTGTGTATGTTGTTACCGCGCCAGATCTAGTACTAGCACCTTTAGTAGTGAGAGATACCTTCTTGTTTTGCAATTCGGTTGCTAATATGTTGATTGATACGGGTGCATCCCATTCATTTATTTCGTCTGCATTTGCATCTGTTTTGGGATTAGAGTTGGCTCAGTTAGCATCTTCTATTTGTGTAGAGTCACCTATTGGTGGTGAGGTTATTTTGAAGCAGGGGTGTCGAGGTTGTGACATAGAGGTTGTCGGTCGCCGACTTCCTTTTGCATTTGTGTTGATTGATATGTCTAGTTTTGATGTTATATTGGGTATGGATTGGTTGTAATCCTATCGGGCTGTTATAGACTGCTACTGTTAGAGGGTTACTGTATGTACCTTGAGCGATGATTGCTTTTATTTCTTGGGGGACCGAGTGGATAGAGTTTTATCACCGGTGTATGATCCGTGTGAATGGAGTGAGCTTAGTTGCTTTCTTGCCAACTTCTTGATTACTGAGAGTAATGAAGTCTGAGTTGAGTTGCCAAGGATGGTTTGTGAATACCCGGACGTTTTTTCCGAGGATCTTACTAGTTTACCATCTCATCGAGAGATCAAGTTCTCTATTGATTTAGTTCTTGGTACGACACCAATTTCCATGGCATCGTATAGATTTGCACCCACTGAGTTGAATGAATTGAAGATTCAACTTCAGGAATTGTTAGATAAAGGTTTCATTTGCCTTACTACTTCGTCTTAGGGAGCACCGACTTGTTTTGCCAAAAAGAAAGATGGTGCGTTACAACTTTGTATAGATTACCGAAAGTTGAACCAAGTAACTGTTAAGAACAAGAACCTAATGCCTCGTATAGATGATTTGTTTGATCAATTGAAGGGGTCTTGTTGCTTCTCTAAGATAGACCTGAGATTGGGTTATCACCAGATGAGAGTAAGAGAGGAGGATGTCCCGAAGACAGCATTCCATACGCGGTATGGCCATTATGAGTTTCTAGTGATACCCTTTGGGCCAACTAATGCACCAGCTGTATTTATGGATTTGATGAATCGGATCTTCCATGAGTT